CTCACATTGAGGAAACTTCTTGTTAACTGCAGCGGGGTATGTTGAGGGTACCCCCTACTTGGGGAAATGCCCATATGTCCCTGACCGGCCGACTGCCGTCAGTCCCTTAGGGGGGGCAGGGGCGAAAAATCACCCTCTGGCTCGGCGGTGCCCAAGCAAGCAGCCACCAGTTAGAAAGAAACAGGGCTGTACAACGGCTTCGCCGTCAAGGGACCACGCTGGTTCTGCGACACCCTATATCATACAGCAATGGTCATTTTACCGGCTTCAAACCAACTCGGCGTAGGCCCTTCTAGACAGGTTGATGGAGTATCGGCGTACAACGGCTGATCAAAGGGAGATAGAGTGGCTCTTTCCCCTGGGAAGACTTCCCAAAAGCAACTTCAGATCCTTAGCTGACTGTTGACTCCACCGCCAAATAAGACAGACACTGACAAAAACAAAACACAACGTCAAAGCACAAGTTGCTCGATGAACAAGCCATGTCAAGCCCTCTGGCCACTGAGCTTCTACCACAACAGCAAAGCCCGGGGTTGTTCTCCATGCGCTTCAGATGAACACCGTCATCACTACCACCACTACCACCCCCGGTGACAATCTAAAACGTCGCAAAACATGCAGGGACAGAAAGGGATCATGCAAGGGGTGCTGGGATCGAATCAAAGCAACAGGCACGTACGCGGGATGGACCACGTGATTTTGCTTCCCAAGTAGCCCCTGACGCCTAAGCCTGTGAACCCCTTCACCCACAAGGCTTGGGATGTTCCCCGTATACGAACAGTCCTTCATAAGGAATGTAATAGGGGGGTACGAGAATCCCATTCAGGACTGCTAGTATAAGGGGGAACATCCCAACACAAGGCCCTAATGCAGCCATTTGCGGTCTCAGCAGCAGAACGCTTGTTTGCCACTTGAACTTCTTGAAAAACTTTCGCCTGAGCAACGCCTTCGTCCTCGCTGACAGCCCGGCACCTGAAAAGTGCGGCAAGGAGGTGTCTACAACTCAGGTAGGGTTCAAACGGCTCTGTACAACACAGATTCTTTTTCTGCTAGTACCTTGCTCGGTCTCTGCTGTCCGTATGCTGGACCACGTGATGTGAAAGAAGAGGACGGGGCGTTCGACTACGGAGTGCTCTCCCCGTAGGCTTTGCCTCGAAGCCCCCGCAGCCCTAGAAGCCCAAACACCTGCTGCCCGACGTCCTTGTGGTTCCCCCCCTCGTTGTGGGCGTGTTAGTTTGTGAGACGTTCAGTCGACCACTCTTCTCACCTCCTCGCCCGGTGTCCTGCCCGGTATCCTGGGCCTGGTCGCCCAGCCCAGAGAAGCCTGCAGAGAGCCCCACCCAGTGTCCCAGAACAGCCCGCAGACAGTCCTGCCGCAGTGCCCACCCTCAGGTAGCTGCACGGCGGGGATGATCTAATTCAGCTCTACACCCTAAATCCTAAACCCTAAACCCTAAGCCCTGTTTAGCAGTTCAGGGTGCTGGGGTGAGGTGCCTACCACTTTGGGGATCTTGGGACATTTGGGGCCTGAGGCCCAAAGTATTCTAGGACTCTTCAGGGAAGGGTGGTCAAGGGGGGAGGGTACGTGACGTGAGATTCCCCACTCCCCTTTGCGCTTGAGGGCTCCCCCTGAGCTTCCCCAACGTTCCCTAGGTCGGGCTTAGGGTTTAAGGTTTAGGGTTCAGGGTTTAGGGCCTACCATGGACTCCATCCCTTAAGGAGGCCGATAATGTGAAAGTGCGAGATGCTTTAAAACCCCTACTTAGAGGCAAGGCCTAAAGGGGAAACCTTGGTATAACACGGCGTAAGCCCGGTGTTAGAGACCTTATAAACCCCAAATCCTGATGTGCTACGAACAACGAGGCCCGAAGCATTTTGGGATCAGGGCCCCTGTGGAGCAGTGCATTTCCCAATTTAGGCACAACTCGAAACTCGAAACCCTGAAGCCCTACTACTGAAGCCTGAAGCCTAAACCCATAAGCCAACCCTAAACCCCCAAACCCTGAACCCTAAATGCAAAACACTGAAACCCTGAAACCCCTACACGCCTTAACCCTCAGACCCAACAACCAAAATCCTGAAACCCTTAAGCCCCTAAACCCGTGAACCCTGAAACCCAAAACCCTAACACCCCTAGACCCCCCAAACCCTGAAACCCTAAATCCAAAACACTAACAAACCCTGAAGCCCTTAAACCCCAAAACCCTTGAAAGGCAAACACCCGAAAGCCTGAAAGGCCCTAAACCCTAAAACCCTAAAACCCTAAAACCCCGAAACCCTAAAACCCTAAAACCCTAAAACCCTAAAACCCTAAAACCCCGAAACCCTAAAACCCTAAAACCCTAAAACCCTAAAACCCTAAAACCCTAAAACCCTAAAACCCTAAAACCCTAAAACCCTAAAACCCTAAAACCCTAAAACCCTAAACCCTAAACCCTTAACCCAAAGTCCGAGCGGCATACGGCCCATCCGCGCAAGGGAGATCGGCGGCTCAGTGTCGCAACTGACGGCCCGTCTCATCTCGTGATTTGCCCTGGGCCGCTGCTTCTTTGCAGCTGACTTGGGAAGATACAGGAAAAATACAATATAACACATACTATATATTTGTATTTATACTTATATTTATATTTATATTCATATTTATATTTGCATTTATATCTATATTTGTATTTACATTTTACATGTTTATATTCATTCATTCTATTTATATTTTTCATACATGCATATATATATATGTGTATATACATATATGTATATAATACTCGCCCCATCCCCATCCCCATCCCTCCTTGAGACTCGGGTGTAAGTTCATGGTTTGGGTCCTGGGCTTCGAACAGTCTCAGTTTATAGGGCTTATAATTTAGGGTTTAGGGTTTAGGGTTTACTGGGTTGTGGTTCCGGGCCTCTGAAAATTATTTATAGAAATGCCTGAGTTAAAGGAGACTCCAAAGGATACCGCTTGACAATGCTGCATAGCGACAAAGAAAGCGCACCTTTTCTCCGCAATGAAACACATCGGTGCAAAATGCGGAGCTTGTGAAACATGGTGTGGAATCAAATTCTGGTCTTTCTTGCGCAATCACACACACACAAACTGCACGCGTCACACTAACAATCTAACAATGGCAATAGTGCATGAAATTCAGGCTGGGTTCATTTATGTCAGAGTTCTGGGTGCGTTCTGGAACTTGTGGAGCAATCACACACACAATCACACACACTCACTCACTGTCACTCACTCACTCACTCACTCACACAGCACACACTCACGCGCACACACACACACACACCCACGCACACACACACACACACACACTCACACACAGTCACACATACTCACACACACACTCTCACACATAATAATAACTCTGGTGCATGAAATTCAGGGTGCATTCTGGGCACGACGATGACACACACAACTAAGACAGTCAGTGCAATTGCTGGTGTTCAGGCTTGTTGCGAAACCACACAAAGTCAGATGATAGCATGACCTACTTGAGGGTGTGTTCTGGGTGCGTTCTGGGTGCGTTCTGGGTGCGTTCTGGGTGCGTTCTGGGTGCGTTCTGGGTGCGTTCTGGGTGCGTTCTGGGTGCGGTCTAAGACTTTCTCACACAATCACAAGAACAACTTACTCTTCACACACAGAGATCCATCAAGGCAGCCCGATTAGGGGTGCGTTCTGGGTGCGTTCTAGAACTTGTTGTGTAGTTACACACACACACACACACACACACACGCACACTAACCATATCAAAGGCGCGTGCATTTGGGGTGCGGCGGTGCAATTGATGGCGTTCAGGCTTGTCATTAAATTGCAAAACACCACGACCAACTAAGGGATGCACTGGTTTCAAGCACGAGTCAAAAGATAGTAGGGTGCGTTCTGGGTGCGTTCTATGACTTTATTATGCACCGTCACACTGAATTTTGTCAAACAATCACACTTACTTACTACAGAGAGTTGAGAAATTAAAGACTTGATGCCAGCCTACGCCTTCAGCAAATGGCCTTCGAGGCTGACTCTTCCACCTGCCAACAATGCAAATCGGAGCACTTCAGGCAACCAAGCATGCAAGCAAGCGCCCAGCAAGGAATCCAGTTTTTGTCTCTGACCCCCATTGTCTGTTTGCTTCTGAAGCCGTCCTCTTATGACTCTGCAAGAGCAAAGCAGCAGGACGAATTGCACAAAAGCCCGACAAGAATCGGGCTCACACTCTGTGAAAAGATCACAGCTGCACCTTTTCGCCACTGTACACCCTGACTTTCACTTCTCTTCCTTGCCATTCTTGTCCTCCGTAGGCTCGACACTCACACGGGGTTGTAGTGCCACTGTATTGCCTGATCTTCTGCTTGAACTTGCCAAAGGCACGTTCCCAAGCACGCTTCGGTCCATCTGTCGTTGGTGTGACTGGCGGTGACATATCAGGTGGCACGTTTCCACTCTCCTGAAGATCTTTGCAAAGCTTGTAGGCAGGGTCGTCTCTCTTGAGAGCCTGAATCACCGTCACTCTTTTTTGCACCTGGAACTCGCTTGCCTTGACAGCCGTTGGCAATGACTCTGGCTGCACCATGTGTGAAACTCAGAATGGGTTCAAGTAAGGTTCCTGAAGGAAGCCAAGAGCAGCTGCAGGATGCTTCACATGTGGCTGACCTGGCGGGTCATCCTGGACAAACTCTGCGCTACCAGACACACAGGCGCATGCTGCACATTCAAAGGCAAATCGCGAGCAATGTCACGATCACTTAAGCTGGCTGATCAAACAGGTTCAGGTCGATTCATTTTTCCAAGCAGTGTCGCTCTCGCTCTGTCGAAACTATGGTAAACTACACTTCAAGTTTCAAAACCTGCCGAGAGCCGTGAGTGCGTCTATGTGTTGGCTGATCGGCTAAGAGATTTTCCAAAGGCTCAGGCCCTGCTCATACATGTGTGAGTGCCGGGACATGCTGGTTTAACTCACCCTGCTCCAAGCTGAATCAGCCTGCTAAGTCTCCCAGCCAGCTCACTTCTCAGCCAGCTGTTGTGACTCTGCCAGCCGCCTGCGTTTCTGCATGAGTTCGTCCTCCAGGTCTGCAATCTCCTCCTCGAGCGAGCGATGCCTGTGTTGCCATGAGACACACATCACTCTCCTGATTCTTATCATTGCTGCTTCCAACCAACCGCTAGTAAGCAAGCACGGAAACTCATCAAACACTGACTCTGACTCTGACTCGTTTTAAAGCCTGTCCTTACCAAAGTTTTGAACTCCTTGTTGCACTCACCGTCGGCGACCACCGAGCACTTGATGCAATCCAAGCTGTGACACTGACGGAGGAACTGCCCAAGGTCCTGAATCATTGCGTGTTGGAATAGGTTCTCCCTCAACGTGCCACTGTAGAGGATCACCTTGTCACCCTCAGTGGTCGTGCCGTTCCTTGCGCAAGGCCAAGGCAAGTCTCATGACACTGCTTACATCTCACACCGACAGTCACAATAACAATAACGAACCGAATCCGAAAGCTTTGCTACCTGCTGGCAGGGGTCAGGGGCCAGGTTGCGTGCAAAACCCAGCTAGGATCTTTTCCACGGTGATACGCCATCCGAGTCACAATGTTCAGGTCGTAGAAGACAGGGTGGCGCTTATTCTCCACCGTCCTCACCCTCTCCTCCTCCATGGAGTAGTGCATGTTGTACAACTTTGAGCCGTTTTTTAGCAAGTGCTCAATCACATCACCCTGCTCCTGCTGGATAGAATCGATGGCTTCTTCCAGCGTAGCACACTCTTTTCCGAGAACAAAGAAGCAGGACACCGTCTCAGGCTGAGGCTTGTCACTCTCACTGCCCTCAGGATTGGAAATTTGCTCAGGCCCACCGGCTTGCAAGGCTTCGCGTGACTCTTCCCTCACCTGGAATGTGAAGAGCCCCACCTTGACGTTAGCCGAAAACATGTGGATCCATTTGTGCCTGGCATCTTCGTGGCGAACCATATAGATGGGGACTTGTGGCACCACCTCGGCGGAGTTCCTGACACTCCAAAGACCAGCCTTGATGTCGTCTTGAGTGACTCTCATGTGAATCACCCAAAACTTCTTCTTCAACAACTCCTTTGTGATCAAGGCCGTGGCAGTGGGCTTAATCTCTGACTCTGAGCTTCCTGACAAAGTTCCTCGCAGCTTCCGGGCTTCCAGGTGCACACATTTCCTGGCGTGGCTCTTTTATTCCAAATAACATAGCACACACACAACTTTTTTCTTTTTAGAGCCTAGAATCAGAAATAAAATGAATGTGAGACAAATATGCACCCCGTTAACCATTGCACAGCCCAGGTGCTTCATGGCAACCGTTGGAGACTTGGACCAGCCTGAGCTCATCAGCTTCGTGTTCAGCGACACGCCCCGAATCAGGCTGTCGAAGGTAGACTCGAACTCTGCCCAATAGATGTCCATGACGCTCAGGGCAGACGCTGGAACACAGGCTGGAGCTGGAGGACACGTAAAACGCGCTGAGGATCATTGGCGGCTGAAGAGTTTCGCAGCCAGCGACAGCACAACTTACACTCACACTGTCAGTGACGTTTGCTTCCTTATGTTCGCCGTTCACCCCGAGCCCTCACTCTACAGCTCTGATTGCTCAACGCCCAGCACCTCCCCCCCCCCCCCACCTTCCGCCAATCACACCTCATCCAAAAAACCCTTTCATGCCCTGGCCGTGCCTGTTTCTCACTGTCAACAATATGGCGACGATGGAAGCACCTGCGACAGTAGTTGAAATTTAAGTTGATTTAGCTTCGCAATGCAGAAACAAAACATAAAGTTACCACGGCTTGACACTTGTTTTCGGCAAACATACTTTCAGTGCAATGCCACTGAGCCCCAGACCCTGCTTGGTATTTGAAGTCACGCTCTCCGGTCTCCTGCTACACGGGCTAACGGTCATGGTTTGGCAGGGTGGGGGCAACGGGTGGATGCGACCTGCAGCTGCTGTGCAATTTAACTATTGAAGTCGCACAGACACTCGCTCAAAAGCCAACTGACCCTCTGGCTGGCACAAGACGATGCTCCTGGCAGTAGCCACGCCGTGACGAACCATGCCTGGGCCCAGCAAACTTCACAGATCATTGGTAGTCAGTAGAAAGCCAATACGTGCAACGCAACAGGGGCACCCATCTGCAGTCTCTCGGCTTATTTTGCTCTCTCTCACACGCACACACACGAGTCCCCCCGTCTGACAAACAGTGTTTAATAAGGCCAGTTTCCAGGGTCCAAGTAGTCTCGGACTAGTTGCGCTGATGGAAATCCATGTAAATTTACAATGGCAAATCTACTAAGGATTTCAGTGTGCTGTGGATCCATGACACTACTGGGATCCCTGGGCGAAGTCAATACACAGAGTAAGCTCTGTGCAATGCCATTCGCCTTCCCCACCCGGAATCTGAACGCTTCAATTGACTCTTCTTCTTCAACCAGACTTTGCTGGTCTTGAGAGTCTTGGGCTGCACACTCTTGCTGCCACGTTTTATCTTCTTGTGCCTAGCCTTGGCTTTGGCCTTGGCTCCGGCCTTGGCTTTGGCCTTGGCTTTTGCCTTGGCAGCCCTACCTTTGGACTTCTTCGACTTCACTCTATTCTTTGATTCTTTTATCTTTGGCCTGAGTTCAGGTGACACTGGCACTACCACAGCTCCATCCATCATGTTCAGCAGAACGCCCTCCTCCTCGTCGCACTCACTGCTGTCACCCTTGAAGCCGCGATTGAGATCTGCAACACACAGGAGACTCAAAGCGACCAACGAGGCAGCCCCCACGGCTTCCACATGCATGGAATTGCCTGCCAATTTCTTCAGAGCTGAACATGACACTGGTACTCTCTCCTCCAATTCGTGCAAAGGAAAGCCTTGCAGCAGCATGACCTCAACACTGCTGATCACCCTGTTGGCTGCGACTGAGTAGATGCATGCTCCAGGGGTTATACATGGAATGTAACCTCCAAAGGAGATCTTCGACCTTTGGATGGACTGGCTAACGTCGATACACATGTCACTCTTGCGATGACGATCCCAGGCCAGTTGCAGAACATCTTTAGCACGCTCACTCCATCCATCCGTGTTTGCGTCCAGGCACTGTGCCTCACGCTGACCACGAAGTTCCTCACGGATGCGCTTGTGCTCACATCTCCACTTCTCCACTGTTGTTTTTACAACCAGTCTCCTCTTCAGCTTGGGTGGGCGAGGTGCAGGGCATTTGGGCTTCGGTTCCTTGTACGTTTCGAGCAGCGGATGCCCTGGACGGAGAAGACGCTCAAGCAGCGTGGCCTGCAATGGTCGATGCATCACTCTGAGGATTTCCTGGCCCAGTTGGCAAAGGGACTGTGTGTCGTCGACGATGAGGAGGTCCTTGCGGAGCGCGACGAAGTACACCCGCTGTCGCCTCACACTGTGCCCTAGCATCGTGGGACACAGGCGAAAATACAGCACCACGTAACCTTTCAAGTCGCGGAAGAACCATGCCACCTGTTCGATGAACGGCAAAAGGCCTTCAACGTTCTCGAACACCGCAAAGCCAGGTCTCTTTGTCACCATCACAGTGATCATTTCCTGATACAGGGCAAATGGCTTCGCAAATTTTCAGTATTACTACTGTAGTAAACAGTATTGCTGTTGCATTTTATGTTCTTCACTCTAAATTTGTCGGCACTGGCCTTGAAAGGAAGGAAGTCAGGGCTCTCGAAATACTTCGAGAAGTTGTTCAACGTGCTCCAAGGCTTGCAGGGGAACCCGCAGTAGTAGGCATTGATGTCCTTCAAGGATTCATGGTCACGCTTGAGCATGTTGCTGTAAAGGTCTGGGTCTTGACCTCTTGACACTGATCTGAAGTCGAGGAAGCGAAGACAGTGCAAGGCCACGTCACAAGCGAACATCTGTTTCACTCTGATGTTCAATCCTTCCAGTGCGAACATAGGAGCGTCTGCTCCTGAACAGTCCGTGGCGACAAGAAGATTGGCAGTCCTCACGCTGTCATCCTGGATATTTCTGGCTTGCAGCCATCGGGTCCTGCACTGTGAGGCTCTGTCCATCATGACACTGGCCCAACTGCCAACGAGGTCGAGCGGATCCATTTTACACGGGCCCGATTCGACAAGGTCCTAAAGGACAATGGCTGACACTGACTAGCTCAACAAGGTCCTAAATTTAGAGGATGATGGCTCACACTGCGAAAGCTTTGCTGAGCACCATTGCTGTGTTCAGAGCCGGCTTGCACACAACGGGCACTTTCAGCAGTTCAGCATCTCAAAAAGACGCACACAAAACTAACAGCAGTCAGCAGAAAATTCGCAGGGCAGCTGGGACACTGGGCTTCACACTGAGAAGCTCGAAGCCGGCATGGACTGGACTAGTCTGGCCTCAGTGTCATGTTCAAAGCATCACACATCCGCAACCCTAACAGTCTGTCAACAATACATCCTGAACCCTAAAATTGAAACCCTAAACAATTATATTTGAAGTTTAACCCTGTAGATGAAGGGCCGATGATATTGGTTCATGAACAGACACTCACCCTCACAGACTCCACTTCGCAATGCAGCCCAACCAACTGAGGTCTGCACGCGATCGACACTGCGTGCCTCGGCCTGAGCAGCAACATGGATCTTGATTGGCAAGTGTGGCTCAACGATGCACGTTAACAACTCACAGCTCGCTCTCAGCCTATCATACCCATGCCGTCTGTTTTCACACTCACCCGCTCGAAGAGCTGATCAGAATACTTTGGTGCATCCCAGCTGCCCTGGCCAACGTAACTGTCATTGCAGTTCTGATTGAGGTGCTCTATCACACTCTGTCTATCACCTACCTCAGCTAAATGTCTGGATACACCGTCTGGCACAGGGCAAGTGCGACTTGGCAGATCTCCGGGGCACGCTTCACACAGAGTGACACTCCCTGTTGAACATATTATTGTATTCTTTGCTTTGTAAAGTATATTTATTAATATATATATTAAAAGTAATATACATATTATATCCATTACAGTTATATATTTTCTTCAAATTCAGTCTTGTGCCACACTGTGGGTATGCCATTCAAACAGCTTATCACTGAGATTGACATTTGAAGTTCACGCTTGACGTTGTGAAACGGTGGGAGACATTCAAGATTGACCCTGCGATCAACATGCTAAATTGTGACATATCTGCGAGACAAACTGCTTCGACTACATTTCTAATCTGATGTTTGTAATAATATACTCAGGGCACTTGAAAGTCGTTATGTCTCCCGAATCAATGTCCAAAACGGCGGCCGCGTCACTCTAAACCAGTCATCATCATGCGTGCTCCTCATCCTCTGAGGACTGCTCCTCGTCACTCTCCACGTTCATCTCCGCCAACACGTCTTTGAAATGGCGTAGCACCAGCTTGCTCACACTCTCATCGAACAGGGACGAGTCCTTCTGCGCCATGAGTGACAATGCCTCCATGTCCAGGATGTTGGTGAGCCACGAGTGGTGCGTCTCCTCGGTTAAGGTCCCTAAACCCTAAACCCTAAATTTTAACCATAAACCCTGAACCCTAAACTCACCCTAAACCCTAAACCCTAAACCCTAAAACCCCTAACTTACTAAACTCTAAACCCAAACATAAAATTTTAAACAATCAAACCAAGACTCGTGCCTGGTCAGGCCGGTGTATTTCACACTGTCCCGGAGGCACGTTTTTGCTAGGGAGCCGCTTCCAGGGGAGAAGTCGATCACCGAAGTCACGCTCAGGGCGCTGAGGAGCGTGCGCCAGAACTCCTCACCCTTGGACTCCTGAAAGAAAAGCGGCACACTGTCGCTCACCCATTTGGGTGGGCAATCACTCTCGGGGTAGATCTTCGCCTTCTCTGCCAGGGCGATCCTCGGCCTGCCCGTGGCCGATGGCACCCCCACCATGTTGAGGTCGTGGGTGGTCTCGGTGCCTTTCACTCTCGGGCGATTTTTCTTGGTGGTCGTGCTTGACGAGTGGCGGAACTCATCTTCACGCTGCTGCACTGCCACCTTGGCTCTTGACACTTGCATGACGAGGTGTCCGTGCTCCACCATTTCTGACCCTGCAAAGATCTTGCGGGAACGGCACATCCTTCTGCGGTTGCTGTACAGCACGACGAAGTCGGTGCCCTTGGGGAACTCACTCTCGATGAGCCTTCTTGCATCTCTGGAGCAGCCGTCCAGCATCACGACGAAGTCACTCTCCTTGAGGCCGCCGTTCTTGAAGACGTCGAAGATCACGCTCACACTCTCGGCGGTGATGGAGGGGAGTTTGCTCCACGCCCCCTTGCCATCGATGTGGAGGTCGGCTGACCAAACCCACAGCCGGTGACTCTCGTTGAGCTTGCCCTGGAAGTTCTTCACACTCGTTTTGTCAAGAAGCGCACGCATTGACTCTTTGGTCGGCTTGTTCTTGGAGCACAAACACGCCAGGTGGATCTCCTCTTTGCGTGCCTTCTGCGCCTGGCCCCACACGTGCTGTCGCTCTCGAGCAAGCTCACTCTCTTCGTGCTCGTCCGGGTTCGAGGACTTGCGGACAAGCTCTCTGAATGACACTGGGGGTGCCTGGCTTGTCGTCGTCACACTCACACTGGTCTTTGTCAGGGCCATTGACGCTGACTTGAAGGCCTTCGCGAGGGCACTGGCCTTCTTCTCGTTGGCTGCGACAGAATCCAGCAGCACGCCCGCCGGATCACGCTCATTGATGATGTCCTGCGAAGCTAAAGGCTTGTTACGGTTGCTTGACGGGGTACAGTGCTGGAGTTCAAGCCTTGTAAGTCTCAAATCCTACAACATAGGTAACTTACTGACACTGATTGTCATTGTTATTCAAAGGAGGACCCCTAGAGCAACTCACAAAACAAAACAAGCGTCCTTGAGGTCAACTTCGAACTCACACTCGTGCAGGTCGCGCAAAAACTCTGCAACTGTCTTTCCGGGCTTGGAAAGACTCTGGGTGAGGGCCTCGAAGGGGTGCATGTCCACCAGCACTGCCGTTTTCTCTGATTCACCCTCACCCTCTTTACCTTCATCATCATCGGCGTCTGCGTCCGAGGCCTGCAAAGGCACGGCGGCATCGTACTGCAGGGGGGAGCAGAGCTTCTGCACAACCTCCAGGACCCGGGCAGGCTCAGAGTCACCCTGGCAATCTTTGCAGTTCAACTTGGCCATGTCCGCCACCGTTCGCATCAGGGAGGCCTTCACACACGTGGCAGCCGTCCAGCCGCCTTTGTCCACCTGGGACAAGCCGAAGAACCTTAGCTGCGCACGGGACATCCTCACACTCACCATCACTTGTCTTTCCATATCTATCTCCCTCTCTCCCTCCCCATCTCTCTCTCTCTCTCTCTCTCTCTCTCTCTCTCTCTCTCTCTCTCTCTCTCTCTCTCTCTCTCTCTCTCTCTCTCTCTCTCTCTCTCTCGCTCGCTCGCTCTCTCT